TTTCCTGGCTACTGGTGCCAAGAGTGTTGACTGTGGAGCCAAGCAGACTAAAGTTGTTAACAATCTCAATCTCTTCACCATCCATCCTGATGTTGCCAACTGGCCCAGTGGTGAGTCTCTGTCTTCTTGACATTGAGCCCCAATCCATACCGAAGGCTGCAGTCCTTGACCTTCTGCAGCAAGCGTTTCAGGTCCTCCTCAGTTTCAGCAAGCAGGATTGTGTCATCTGCATAACACAGATTGTTAATAGTTCTAATTGTTCTTGAAACTCAAAATTTGCAATTGACAAACTAGAGCACCCATTCCCTTGAAGAGATAGGGACACTTGGTATATTTTAAGAAACTATTTGCCCAGATACCTGTCTGTAAAAAGAGTAAGGGTGTTATGAGCATAGCCACATCTGACCTCTACTAACTCTACAAGGGGGAACCGCCCCATTAGTAATATCCACAGGACAAAACCTATGAGCTCAGACATGTGCCCCACACTCACCTACCTATTTCTACTTGATTCCAACACCAATCTTACTGCTCTACTGGGTCAGAAATTCATTGCAATAGCTATATAAACCACACAGAACCATACTCATGGTCATGAGGTTCTTAGTAAAGTTAACAGGCTATAATAATTCAGGTTGTTAGCAGGATATAGTCCTTCAGTCCAGATAGCTTTTCAGCTGTGATCACAAGTCCTTTTACCTTCTGCCTCACAGCTTAGGTCAGTGTGATAAAGTTCCCTTAGTCTTTTCAATTATGGCATCTTCCCTCAGTCTCCAGCAAGTCTGGGTCAAGACCTCTGGCTCAGGATCTGCAGAGCAGCAGCCCCAAGTCAGCTCTGTCTCAGGTTGGTCTCAGGTTCTCTGCTGTGTCTGCTGCTGCTCTTGTGTAGATCTCTGTCAGAATGGTATAGAAAACTCTTGCCTCAAAGTATGTGTACTACCTTTTCCTTGTTGATGTTGAGATTCCCAATTTTTACAGTGGAACCTGCTCAATTTAATGAAG